ATATACATATACATATACATATACATATACATATACACACAGAATGTCTCCAGGGTGAGGCCCAGCTTAGCACACAGATCTGTGGCAGCAGGGTTTGGCTGAAGGGATATTCCTCTGTTCTCACCCCTGAGGGGATTAGACACTTTCAGCCCGTATCCTGGGGATGTGATGCTCCAGAGCCCCTGACACACAGGGCTAGGAGATCCTGTGGTACCTCTCCCTTTTGTTTAACAGGGACCCTGTGCTGATATATTGTGTACCCTAATAAAATTTACCTGAAGATCAGAGGACAGAACAAGTCACTAGATTAAACCTAGACACCAGGCAGTGGTGGCACACACTCAGGAGGCAGAGATCCGTCTGGATCTCTGTGAGTTCAAGGCCACCCTGGATTACATGAGATTGATTCAATCTAGGAGAGAAACAGAGCCAGGCAGTGGTGACACACATCTTTAACCCCAGTACTTGGGAGTCATACGCCTTTAATCCCAGCACTAGGAAGGAAGTGATATGGCTGGGCGGAGAAAGGTATATAAGGCATGAGGAGACAGGAACTGAGCCCTTTTTGGCTGGAGACCTTTCAGCTGAGGAATCAGAGACATTCAGTCAGAGGATTCGTGGAGTTGGTGAGGTGAGCTGTGCCTTGTTCCTTTGTTTACTCCAATATCTGGCTCTGGGTTTTTTATTAAAAGACCATTTTGGCAATTCAAGCAACAGGACCCCAAGGCCCCAGGCCACTTACTTGCCAGTAGAGCACTCTGAGAGAAGGGAACAGAGCTACAGCATGTTTGGGTGATTGATTTGAATATGTGTCCAGATCTGCGATTGTATTTAAGGTTGGCTAGCTCCCGTGTGAAGTAAACAAATAATTCTCACCTGTGAAATCAGCTACTCATTATCAAGAGGATGATGGGAGGAAAAGGTGAGGCTTAAGGCTGGGGCGTGCAGCCCTGGCCCCTTTCACATCCCTGTGGGGAACCCCTCAGCTTTGTCCCAGGCTGGGGAGGAGCCAGGCTGGGTTGGCTCTTGTAGAGGAATGGGTGGGCAGTTTCAGGAAAAGCAGGGCCAAATCTGTTGCTCTCACTCTGGCTAGGGGCTGCTTTGGAGACTTTGGCATAGTTCCCTGAATAGCTGCTCACTGAGGCCCAAGAGACTGAGTTTTTTTTTTCCCCCCGAGACAGGATTTCTCTGTGTAGCTTTGCACCTTTCCTGAAACTCGCTTTGGAGACCAGGCTGGCCTCGAACTCACAAAGATCCGCCTGCCTCTGCCTCCCGAGTGCTGGGATTAAAGGCGTGCGCCACCACCGCCCGGCGAGACTCAGTTCTTAATGCCCTCTGGGGCTTAATTCAAGATCAACTCTTTCTTGGTGGGACTTTTGGCTGTTTTGGATTGAATGAGCCAAGAACTGGGGACCCAGAGTTTGTGGGAAGTTCAGGTTGGGGCTCATGATCTTTTGGCTTTTCCCTAGGGATGGTAAGCAGCTGGGCCTGGATATAGACATATTCCTATTGGTCTACCCATCTATGCATCCACCCATCCTTCTGATGGGCCAGCAGTTTTCCTGTCCATTCTGTCAGATGCCCATCAATGCATTGGTTTACACAAAATATCTACCATGGCGCTCTCCATCATCTGCTCAATGCTTTATCAGTGCATTCCTCCATCTGTCCGCTCACTTGCTCACTTGCATTCCATCAATCCGTCCGTTCATCCATCCACCCATCCATTCATCCATTCATCCATCCATCCACCCACCCAATCCATCCATCCATCCATATCCATAGTTATCCATTGACATCCATCTACCCACCCACCCACCCACCCAAATTTCTTTCTTAAAAAAAAAAACAAACCACATTTATTTATTTTTATTTTATGTCTATGGGTGTTTTGCCTGTGTGTATGTGCTCATAGAGGCCAGAAGATGGCGTTGGATCCCCTTGGAATTAGAGTTACATATGGTTGTGAGCCACCATGTGGGTGCTGCAAATTGAACCTGGGTCCTCTGGAAGAGCAGTCAGTGCTCTTAACCCTTGAGCCATCTCTTCACCCCCAATCCCTACTTCTCAACCTCTAAACAGAGGCTTAAGACATGACTTACACCTCTAAGGAGGAAGTGAACGGCATGGTCCTTAAGGAACACAAGACTGTTCCAGCACATTCTAGAAGTAGAGTCCAGGCAGGAGATATAAGGGGCAGATTTGCCAGGCTTTTGCCTTGGGACAGGTCAACACCTTGCACTTTCAGCCCTCCTCCCACCCCCAGCCTTAAAAAGCAAAGGCAGAGAGGTAGGAGCTGGCAGCTGGAGAGGAGGGAGAGAAGGAGGGAGGAAGGGAGGGAGGGAGAGGCTTCATTTGTCAGCTGCTCAGCAGGTACAGTCAGACTTAAAATGTCCCCAAGAGTGTCTGCTGAGATGCAGGGGGTGAGCACGCTGAATTATTTCCCTAGTAATTGGCAGCAAAGAAGCTGCAGACATCCTGGGGTCTGCATCAAAGCTCAGAGCCTCCCCTGCTTAGCTTGCTCCCTGAAGATGCGGCAGCTTGGCTGTGGGTGTGGGGCCCAGGGCTCCTGAAATCCACTTCTCTACCTGGTGCTTTCCTCCCCTCTGCTTAAGGCACTGTGCAAGTGTGTGTGTGTGTGTGTGTGTGTGTGTGTGTGTGTGTGTGTGTGTGTGTGTGTGTGAGAGAGAGAGAGAAAGAGAGAGAGAGAGAGAGAGAGAGAGAGAGAGAGAGAGAGAGAGAGAGAGAGAGAGAATGCTTTACTATCTGCAGAAGATAGCCCGGGGGTGGGGCCGGTGTGTGCAGCTTGGGGCTCTGACCCTGCCTGTAGAAGAGGAAACTGGAGCCTCCAGGTCTTTCCCTGCAGCGGTTCAGGATCCAGTATTGCTGGAGTCTCTGCCCGCGGACCTGATGGGTCCTTCACTCCATATGGTCTGGGCAAAGGCAGTTGCTCTTGGTCTCCATCCCTCTGTATGGTGCTCTGGCTAGCACTCAGAGGGGGCAGTTTGATCTATTGGTCATATTATTTTGCAAACAGTTGAATTTTCCTGTGTCAATATGTCCTAACATGTGCACATGTGTGTGTACACATGAGTGTATGCCTGTATGTGTGTGTGTGTATATATGTATGCAATTTTTATATGTGGTGCCCCCCACCCCAGTGAAGGCCTTTTCCACTGGATTTCCAGCTGGTAGCTGGGACACCTCTCCAATAGGTTGGCCTTCCATCTGGTCACCTGATGCCGGGGGAGTACTGGGGTGGCATAGGGTGGAGGAGCCAGCCAGGTCACTTTCCAGCCTGGGCTCAGCTTCCTGTCTGCTTGGAGCCTGGTCTTAGGGGTAGAACATTTCCTTTTTCCTCCTACCCATCTTAGGTTCATTGGCTGGGGCCCCTGCACCAAAAAACAGATTAACAAGAGAAAAGCATGACACATACATAGAATGTAAGGTTCATGTGACTCAGGAAACACCCACCCCCACCCCCTGCCACCGGTGGTGGGGGAAACAGTGGAGAATGGACAGAAGTGAATGAATAAAGGTGTCAGGGTAGAGGGGCTGAGGGCACACTGTGGAGGCTCAGAGGATGTCTCTCCTTTCCTGTGGGATCTGGAGGGTCCCTCATGTAGATCTTCTGACTAGCTTCAAGGGGGAGGTCAGAGGTCAGGATAGGGTCAGAAAGGGCTTCCTGTGTGGGTTTCAGATCCCTTCCGTTTTAAGCACCTACTATACTAAGGTGCCGCATTTTGGGGTGGCACAGGCTGAAGGCTATTATAAAACAGAGGATGAATGGGGGAGCAGTGTTGACAACAGGAACACATCCCAACCCACCCTCTGGAACTTCCCGTCATCCCTCTTCACCTCAGGAGCTCTGGAGGGCACAACCCCGAACGGTTGTGTTTCTCTCTCTCATTTCACAGAGGAGAGATGGAGAAGGACAATGGCAGGGCCAGGATTAAGGACCCCCTGATGCACAGTCAGGGGCTCACCAGCCCAGGCTGCCCTTCAGCAGAGAGTTCAAGGACTCACCTGGAGGGCTGTGGCTATTGTGGGGCCTTATTTACAGAGTGCCAAGTTACTGTACCTGTCAGGACCCACGGTATCATTTGCAGAGCCCAGGGTCTTGTCCTCAGAATTATTAAGCATTTCCAGATGGTAGCAGAAAAATATGAAACATAGCATGTGTCCCTGAGGGAGCGCCTATGCAGCCAGCGCCAGGGCCAGCAGGATGCCAGCCATCTGTAGAGTAGCCCAGGCTTCCTGGTGGCTACCTGTCCCCCAGTGCTGTGGGTCACTGGGGGCTGGTGCTGGGGCCTAATGAGGAGACTTGAGAAGCTAGCACCTGAGTCAGAGGAAAGGCAGACCCTGGGGCTCTGTTGGAGGCGTGCAAAGTGGCTCCTGGAGGGCCTCAGACATTATACCCAGGAAAGCCAGCCTGAAATCCCAGCACTGAGGAAGCAGAGGCAGGAGGATTGCAAGCTCCAGGCCCCTTGAGCTGCATAGTGAGACTGTACATCTAAATAAAATACGTAGAATGATATAATATACCAATTTTACTCCTGGATTCAGATCCAAAAGTGAAGAGTTAGAGGGGCATGGGCTAAAAGAGGGAAAATGCCCCCCTGACTTGGCAGCTTTTTGTTCTTAGAAGGAATTTAGAGAACGCACAGGGGAGGGGATTCCCTTGACAGGACCAATAGGGGGATGGGGAAGCCCCGGGCTTCTCTAAAATACCCAAGCATGTGTGTTTTTAGTAGACTTTCATCCTGGGGCCCCTCCCATCCCTGATGCTTGAAGCTGTTAGCTTTCCATTTCTCTGCAGCTTGGTCATCTATCTGTCTTTCCTAGATGTTCGGTTCTTTGTTTGTCAGGAAACAAACCCACAGCCCTCCAGATACCACCAGCAGCACCCTGTAATAGTTCTGGGGGTCCCTCCCTGATTTGAGAAGTCCTCTACTCAAGGTTGTATACCTAACTGCAAACTGCATAGGACTCAAATGTGACCATGACCTATCTGACACTGAGGGCCCCTTCCTAGAGAGGGGACCCCTTCCACCATGACTAGCACTGTGGGAGCCCCCAGTTAGCCCCACCTCTTCTGGGAGTAAGGAGAGTAGAGGCTTGGACTCCCATCTTTTACAGGAGGAAGGAGAATTCTCCCCTGAGAATCACGAGGAGCCTATGCTGCCACCCCTGCACCAAGAGTCAGGGCAAACCGAATCCCAAGGAACCCAGCATCTCCCAGGGTGGAAGGATGGGGGATGCAGACCCTCCATGCAGTACCCCCTGGGAACAGTACACCCGGGAAGGGTCCATGGGCAGGGCACTCCTCTGCTCGATTGCTTCTGCACCCCACACTCAGATATTTGGCCCTTGAGCTGTGAACAGCTAAGTGCAGGCCTCTGGGTCTCCGCTGTCTGTTGGGATCGGAAGGCCCGCTCTCGAAGCTTTCTGTTTCCTGAGCTATTGTAAAGAAAGTGAGAGCCGGCTTGCCCTGGGTTCAGGCAGTGGGTGGCTGAACTCCAAATGGAGGCAGTACCTGAGCTAGGAGGGAAAGCTCTGCCCTGTGGGAGAAAGCTTCCCCAGGGGCTTTGGCTGTTCGTCTGGAGCCTGCATGACTCCTCACCCCTTGAAGCTCTCAGGAGAGGTATGAATGTCCTGCCTCAAAGAGTTGTCACCATGTGGGAACTCTCAGGAGCTATGATAGCAGGAACAGGGTCTCCCTCAGCTGGACTGTGAAGCAGATGACATCTCTGACCTTGCAAATGCTCCTTCCACACACACCCCTTCTCCAGCCCAGCCTCCCTCATGCCCCCATTGCATGTGCAGAGCTCTTTGCTGGTCTTTGAGGAGACACTGGGCACTGGAGGACCCCAGAATGATGGAGGAGTGGGGAAGGGAAGTAGTGTGAGTGCTGGCTGTGGGGGGCTGTGGATGGGACTCAGCAGTAGAAGGACTGCCTAAACACTTGAGGCCGTGGGTTCGATTCCAGGCACTGCCATGGTCAGTTGGTAGAGAAGACAGGAAGGGCCCTTTGCCTTGGTATCAGTTTTCCAGGAGCCAGTAAGAGCTGGAGGCAAGGACAGATGAGCTTGCTTGGGTGGAGACTGGAGAAGAGGCCTCCACTGGGTCTTAATGCTTGCTCTTTCTACACGGCCTCTCAAATTCTGCCTTCTCTTTATCTTTCCCTGCTCGCTGCCTGCTTTTGGTCTTGCCCTCTTGTACCCAGAACGCCTGCTTTTTTTTTTCTTCCTTTCCAGTTGCTGTGACATCAACAGGCTAAGGAAAAAGCATTACATATTCTCTAGATTTTGAGTAAATTATCCACTGAGTGTTTAAAAATAAAAAAAAAAAGCAAACAAGAAAAACGGGTCAAAGGGAATATTTACATCAGTTTTTTTTGAATGGTGGCTTTTACATGGATAAGATTAGTCATCGTTAAGGTCATGGGTGGTCAAGAGTCTACCCGTGATTGGAGCAAATATGTTCCCCTTTCTTTCATGGTCATGAATGAGGAAGGAGAAGATACAGGTACCCATGCCCATCAGGGGGACACCCCCTGGTCCACCAGGAATGGTTTAGACCTTTTCCCATTGAGGAGCCACATTTTCTTCTGCTTTCTATGTTACAGGTGCTGCTTGTTGTGACCTTGAACCCTTGGCCTCCTGTTTGTGTAGTGAGATGTCATGAGGAAGCGGGATCCGAACAGCTAGTTCCTGTTGAAAGCTAGACAGAGTAACACTGGCCTTGAGTGCATGTCTGAAACCTTCCTGCTTGAGTCTAAAAGGACCCATGGGCTGAATGTAACCTGTGTCGGTTGGGTGACACTAATCCCCAGGCCAACTCATGGGTCCCCTAAAAGCCTCCAGCCTGCTCAGCTTTGGACCAGATAAGGATGTGATGGGCACCAGAAACAAACTTGTGAGGAAGGGCCCACCTGCCTGTCAGCTGCATTTGATAATAGGCTGGTAGGCCTGCCTTGTGAAGTTTCAGACAGAAGCAAAGACTCTCTTAAGGGCTGTTTATGTGACCAGCTATATCTGATCGTGATTGTGCCCTGGTTCTTCCCACTTGGAATTAGAAGGTATGTAATTCTAATTGTTTCCTGGGATTTCTGTGCCAGGGAATGAGCTCGGCAATGGCCCAGACAACCGCCAGCACCCCCCTTACAAAAGCGTTGAAAGGAGGGGAGCTTGGACACATACTCAGAGCCCTGTGATCCCAGCAGCTTATTCCCAATAGCCAAAAGACAGAAGCGAGCCAAACGCCCATAGAGAGATGAGCGGGTCAGCATCTCGCATTAGATCCATGCAGTGGAATGTCACTCAGCTGGTGTCCGAGATCTGCAGTGACACATGCCACAACATGGAAGGACCTCGAAGACACTATCCTAAGTGAAATCTGCAAACAGAGTGGGCATGTATTACATGTTCCACTTAAACTCGGCATCTAGTGTAGTCAAAAATAAGAGACAGTGGATGGATGGCAGGGCCGGAAGTAGGGAAGTGCCAGGAGCTATGGCTTAATGGGGGCACAGTTTGGGTGACGACAAAGGTTTAACAATGAGTGGTGGGGATGGTTACGCAGTGTTGTGAATGACTGTCACACACGCGCACACGCCCATGGGAGAATGAAGTGCCTGTGAGGATTTGTGAGGTAAGCTAGGGTCTGGGGAGCTATGCCTTTCTTGGAATTCAAGGGTCATCCCTATGTCCTGGCCACATCTTCAGGCTGTGAATGCACAGGATTGAGGCTTCGGAAGCCTGGAGAGGATGCTTGATTGGCAGAAGCTCCTGGAAGCCCTCTTAGTCAAATCCCCCCTTGCACTGAGCCCAGGCATTTATAAGCCCCAGTTTCACTAGGTCCAGCTCAATGAACAAAGACAGATGTTAGCACCAGGCACTCTCAGCCATCCCTGGCCCTAGGCACCAGGCAGTTTCCAGCAAGTGGGTGAATCTGTGTGTGGGGACTGGGCTTTACTCTCACGTCACATCAGCAGTAGGAAATTCTCCAGCAGGACGACGGGCTGACTCTCCCCTTCCACCTAATCCCATGTGTGTTGCTCACATAGCCAGGCTGCTCTGCAGCTGCTTCCTTCACGCTCAGAATCCCGATTTGTTCCCACCAATCCCGGGCTCCAGGGCAGCCTCAGGCTCCCAGCACAGTCTTGGGCATCCGTTCACCCCGGGGGTGCGTCAACAGGCTCTCTTGATGTCTCTGCTGTCCTTCTCCATACAATGGGGACAGTGAAAGGGCCTGACTCCTGGGTGGGTATGACCCCCTAAAGCTGGTAGCAGGTGCCTGACTCAACAAACGGTGGCCACCATGGTTATTATCTTCCCCTCGCAGCAAAATGCCTCATCTCTCTCTGGCCTTGGCGGGGTGGAATTGAGAGCTGTTTGTTGTCAGCAAACAAAGCTCAGCCCGGGAGGAGGCAGGGTGAGCGGAGGGGGAGCGAGGGAGGGTGCTGCCTGGAGTCCTTGATGCTGGCCTCCCGTGCTCCTAGCCCCGCAGCTTCAGCTGGGTGCACCTTGCGCTCAACCAGAATGCAGCAACAATTCACGTGAGGGGCAGACACAGTGTGGGCTCCCGAGAACCTGCAGATACGATGCCAGACACGGTGTTTTTGCATTAGCGAAGGACACCAGCCCCCAATTTTTTTTTTGGGGGGGGGAGGGTGGAAATGGCTCAAATGTGCTGAGTGTGTCTGAGGGGACTCTGCTGTAGATGTTCCATGTGCCAGAGCTGCTCCAGCTGGGGTGGCGTGCTGAGGAGCTAGCTGAAGGCAGGTACCTGTCTGGGGCTGCGAGGAAGGCGTGCTTTCTCTTCTGGTCTCATTTCCTCTGCCAAGGTCTGTGCCAGGTGCCATAGGCAGTACGGGATTAGGGCTGTCAGCCCTGGGAAGAGCACTTCGGAGACCCAACGGGCTTCAAAGTGAGGTTTCAACAGGGAGATCTCCTGCCCCTGGAGTGTGAAAAACACCCCCCCACCCCCCACCCCCGCCGCCTCTGTGGTAGAGTGCAGCTCTCTGAGTATACCAGCTGCCATCTTCATCAGGGCAGCTGTGACTACTTGCCGGGGACCCTCCAGATGGGGCCTGTTGACTCCTGATGCTGCCTCATCCTCATAGGAGGGAGGAGGGAGGGTCGTTGGATCCTCACCTGAGGTTCTAGCCACGCCCTCTTGCACCTCCCAGCCAGCTGAATGTGATTCTGCCCTAAGTGCGTGCCTGCGTGCGGGGGCAGATGCAAGATCTCAGAAGGAATCTAGTGGGTCCCGAGAGCAGGAGGGTGACTGAACTCCATCTCTGCAGCTATGGGCAAGTGCGTTGGGGTCACTTATGCCTGGTGAGTAAGCCCAATAAACGCATGGGTTCCCCCCCCCCCCACTTTGGACTTTGTCTGGTTGATACCCTGTGAGGAGAGGTAGCCATTTGTTGGTGCTTACCCAGGGAGAGAGTTCTGTTAACAGCCTCTAACCCAGAGACGCCAGAGCTCCCAGTGCTGTTTGCACAGTCTTCTGGGCAACTCGGAGGTGGCAGAGGGTAGAGGCCATGTCTGTTTTGTGCTGCTGAGCCCCAACCCCCAACTTCTTTTTTTTTTTTCCTGGAGCTGAGGACCAAACCCAGGGCCTTGCGCTTGCTAGGCAAGCGCTCTACCACTGAGCTAAATCCCCAGCCCCTGAGCCCCAACTTCTAACTACGCTTGGTCCCTGCTTCTGTGCTTCTGGATTTTTTTTTTTTTTTTTTTTTTTTTTTTAAGATTTACTTATTTATTGTGTATACAGTGTTCTGCCTGTATGTCTGCCTGCAGGCCAGAAGAGGGCACCAGATCTCATTACGGATGGTTGTGAGCCACCATATGGTTGCTGGGAATTGAACTCAGGACCTCTGGAAGAACAGCCAGTGCTCTTTACTGCTGAGCCATCTCTCCAGCCCCCACGTGTTTCTGGATTTTGACAGATATTGTCAATCCACTCTCCACTCATCACTCAGTTCCAAGTGGTAAGTTGGCTGGTTGGGACCCTGAACGCATTCTGTAAAGAAATGATTTGTTGGTTCTATGGCAGCTGAGAGGATTCTGGACTCTGGAGCAGCCCCTGACTTTGTGGAAGGGTCTGGCGTCCATCTCAACTGTAAAGCCGAACTGTACAGGGTTACTTTGAGATGAGCCGTCTTCAGGAACACATTTGTAGTTTGCCTGAGGAGCTGCAGGGTGTGGGGGGCTGAGGGGCCCAGCTAGGCCTGGGGTCTGGTGGGATGTGTGTGCTGCAGTGGACTGGAAGGCCTTTGGCCATTCTTAGAGGCATGAGGAGAGCCCTGTAGTTTAGAGTAGAGGTATGGGGACAGCCACCTACAGGCTGGGGTGTAGGTGTAGGGGCCCCCAGATCTAGGATGGCTTCTGTCCCTCCAAGTCTGTCCTAAGTTGAAATGCATGGGGTCCTTCTGAATACCAGAAGCTTGCAGCAGAGCAGGCTGGGGGCGGGGGTGTTCCCCCTCATGTTCTCAGCGCTGCTCCGCTGCCGCTGCTTACATTGCAGGAGGAATTGGACTGTAGAGAGTTAATCAGTGTGGAACATTAAAAACAAAACACCCAAACAAAGTTTTGGGGCTGGAGAGATGGCTCAGTGGTTAAGTGCACTGATTGCTCTTCCAGAGGACTCCAGCTTGATTCCCAGCACCCACGTGGTGACTCACAACCTCCAGCCCCAGGGGATCTGATGCCCTCTTCTAGCTGCCTCGGGCACCGCGTGCACATGTTGCACAGACATCTATGTAGGCAAGACGTTCATACATCTTGTAAATGAAAACACATACAAAGTAAATGAAAACATACCCCCTACTAAGTTTCTACTGAATGTAGGAGTGCTTTAAAGTCACTTTTTACAAGCATAAACTGTTTTTATTTTTAACTTGCTTGTGTAGGTGTGTGCATGGGAATGAAGGTGCTGCAGGAGGGCAGACCCTCCTGGAGCTGCCTGACAGGTGCTAGGAATTGAACTCGGGTCCTCTGCAATGCTGTCTTAGGGCTAACCCTCTCTCAGCCCACACATACATATTGTATGTTGAACGTCTCCACCCTCCCTTCCCCAGCTTCCCCGTCTTGCCTCTCCTTTCCCGTCAGTCTCTCCTCTTAGAACCGTGGTTCTCAACTGTGGGTCGCGACCCCCTTTAGCAAACCTCTCTCTCCAAAAATACTTACAATTCATGACAGCAGCAAAGTTACAGTTATGAAGTAGCAACGAAAATAATTTTATGGTTGGGGGGAGTCACCACAACATGAGGAACTGTATTAAAGGGCTGCAGCATTTGGAAGGTTGAGAACCACCAGCTTAGACCATCCACTTCTCCTTGTATTACCATAAACACACGAGCTTTTATGTGTCTGTATAAAACCTAGGAACCACAATGAGAGAATATATAGAGCATCTGTCTTTGTGAGCCTGGCATAATTTGCATAATGCTCTCCGTGAATGTGGGCTGCTTTTGCGCCCTTGCTAAGCAGTGCTGAGTTGATGGCACTAAGTCTCGGAGGTCTGCATCGGAGGCTGCAGTGCAGCTCATGGGTTATCCCCTCTGCTTGGCGGCTCCTCACCGCCTCACCCCTGCTATAGGCAGAGCCTTACTGCCGCCGGCCGCCCTCCCTGGGTTTATAATTTTGATAGGTACGCTTTCCCCTAAAAGACTCTAGGGGCCAGCAGGATGGGTAGTGGGTAAAGCCCTTGCCATGCAAGGGTGATGACTTGAGTTTGAAGTCACGTAAAAACAGAACAGACTCCACGAAGTTGTCCTCTGACCTCCACATGTGTGCTGTGGCACATGCACCAGCCCTAGTATGCGTACTTACATAATAAAGATTCCAGAATTTCAAGTATATCCTCGCTTGCCGAATAAATGGCAATCCCAGTCCACCCCAGGTGCCTCCCAGGCAGCCCTGGGGACTTTCAGCTCCCTTGTGTCTCTGTCTTTGTGTCTACTAGTTTAAGTTTTGGGTGTTCTGGTTTAGTTGTGTATGCCATACCTTAGCTCTCATGGATAGCCCCTCCACCCTCTTGTCTGGCTCATCTCCTGTCTGGTTGGAGCACATCCTGAGTAGCTAAGTGCACATGAAAGGCGAAAAAACTAAAGAGCGCACATGCCTGCCCGCACCTTCCTTCTCCCGGTACACTTGGCAGGTGTTTGGCTGGGTGTGTCTGGACCAGGAATCGCCTCCCCTCAGCATTCACAATATATGGTGTCTTTGTGTTCTGGCTTTCAATTTAAAAAAAAAAAAATCCTTCACAATTTCATATATACATAGAATGTACTTGGATCCCAGTTCCCCATTATCCTCTCTTATCTCCTCCCCCTTTCTGCTTCCTCCACCTTCCATGTGTGTGTCTGTCTGTCTGTCTGTGTCCCCGAACACTGCAACAGGGCTCCTCATTCCAAGTGGCCAGATCAGCTCTGCCTCAGCTCTGCCGTTCCTGCTGTCATGGACTGAAACCTCTGGAAACCATGAGCTAACAGTACCTTTTCCTCCCTTCAGTTAGCTTTTGTTATTATTTGTGGTCATGGTAGTAAGAGAAAGAATGATTACCTTAGTAAGTTAGTTAATTGTGTAATGCTGAGGATTGAACCCAGAACCTCGTGTATGATAGGCACATGCTCTATCCCTGGGCTGTAGCCTCAGCTACTCATTTGGTTTTTAAAATTTATTTTTTAACAGATACATCAAAAATTTGAGAATTGTATGAATTTGCGGCATACCACGTGATATTTTAATACCTGTGAACACTCTGCAATGTTTAAATTAGGTTAATTTTTTTTTACCGCTTTTTCTTTATATTTCTTTTAATTCAGGCTGGACATGGTGGTACACACTTTTAATCCCAGCACTTGGGAGGCAGAGGCAGGCAGAGCTCTGTGAGTTTGAGGTTAGGGTGGTCTATATAGTGAATTCCAGGACAGCCAGAGTTATATAATGAGACCCTGTCCCGAACAAACAAAAAAAATTAATAATTTATGCATATGGGTATTTGCTTGTATGAGTGTCCACCATGTGTATGCAGTGCCTACAGAGGCCAGGAGAGGACATTGGATCTCCTGGAACTGGAGTTACAGATGGTTTTGAGTTTCCATGTGGGTGCTAGGAATTGAACCCAAGCCCTCAACAAGCCCAGCAAGTGCTCTTAGTGCAGCCATCTCTCCAGCCCCCATTTTTCTCAAGCTAGGGGAGTTCATGTATATGTGTGTGTGCATGTGAGTCCACGTGCTGTGGGGTTGGATGCCCTGGAGCTGGAGTTATGGGCCGTTGTGAGCCGCCTGACATGGGTGCTGGGAATGGAATCAGGTCCTCTGGAAGAGCAATGCGTGCTGAGCCATCTCTCCAGCTCCCTTACCATTTCCCAATGATGGAAACATTGCTTCTAGCCATTTGAACTGTGGGGCTTCTCTGCAGCTACCCTGCTGTGCAGCCACCCGCCAGGGCTCCCCACCACTTAGAGCCCAGCTGGGAAACACTCACGAGACCCCTCATCACTTTTCTCTCCTTTGTTATGTTTCTTTTTTGATTTATTTTTATTTATGTGTGTGTGCCACATTATATTAGGGTGTCCACAGAGGCCAGAAGAAGACATCAGATCCCCTGGTGCTGGAGGTTGTGAGCTGCTGGACATGGGTGCTGGGAACTGAACTCAGGTCCTCTGCAAAAGCCACAAGTGCTCTGAATCACTGAGCCATCCTTCCAGCCCCTAACACTCACGAGTCCTCATCATTTCCTCTCTTCTGTTATTTTTCAGTTTGGAAGTTCCTTTAGCTCTAAGTTGGACCTTCTATATTGTTGGAGTTTTTCTGTTAGCCTCTCTTATCCCTACCTCTCCCCGTCCCCCACAGACAGTCTCATGTAGCCCAGGGTAGTCTCATACTTGCTATGTAGTTGAGGATGGGCTTGAAAAACTTCTCATGTCTCTGCCTCGCGAGTGCTGGATTATAGGTGTGCACCACCATGCCCAGTTTGATGCAGTGCTAGGGAAAGACCTCGGTTTCTACCAGCCATCCCCAGCACTTTTATATTTCTGGTTTTTGTGTCTTGCTTCCTGGGAGGTTATCTCCCTCTCAGCTTTCATTTTAAAATTTTTCCTTTTTTTTTTTGGGTTTTCGAGACAGGGTTTCTCTGTGTAGTTTTGGTGCCTGTCCTGGATCTTGCTCTGTAGACCAGGCTGGCCTCGAACTCACAGAGATCCACCTGTCTCTGCCTGCCGAGTGCTGGGATTAAAGGTGTGCACCACCACCGCCCGGTCTAAAATTTTATCTTTTTACACAGAGTTCAATTTTAGGTGAATTGTTTATGAGCTCTTCATCTTGATTTTTGAGGTAGGGTCTCTCATTTGGCCTGGAATCTGATAAGTAGGCTAGGTACGCAGGCTAGCAAACCCTAGGGATCTGCCTGTCTCTGCCTCCCCTACTCTGGGAATACAAAGGCGTGCCACCATGCTCCTGGGTTCTGGAGATCAAGCCGAGGCCCCCTCTGCCTGTGGAGTGGTACTTACTGAACTAGCTCCCTTGCTCCTGTGGTCTTAGAGTTTTAATTTTGAAGAACATTAACTTCTTTTCTAAAAAGTAGCATTGTTATTGTCATTAATTTTTATTTTTGGTATCACTAGGAATGAAACCTGGGCCCTCACTCCTGCATTTTCTCGTTTCATGTGGTAGTATCTTCAGAGGACCCAAGTTCTTCCTCCTGCACGCTGGATGCTCTAGGTTTTATTTTATTTATTTATTTTTTAGCTCCACCATGCTCTGAGTGCCTTTGCCTGTTCTCACCATGTGAAGAACAAAGCAGGCAGGTTGCTCTCTACACATGGATGGGGCTCACAGACTGTGGTCTCCCAGCAGAGAATGAGTGGAGACTTGATGCTTGGGGACTCCCTAATGCCGGGGTCCACCATCAGTTCCCCAGAGAAATGCAAGCATCTTGTTTTGGGGGAGGGGAGGGGAGGAAGTAGGCCTGGCTGTCATCAGGC